AAGAGAGAATGCATGTATGTGCTATAAATCGACACTGTTTACTATTTTGTTTACACTAGCATAAATATACATTAACTAATCACTATAACTTGCTGTGTGGATTATTATAGCACCGGTAATCTCTGGAACGATCTTCAGAACTTTTATGAATTATTTTCTCATCTTACTATCATCTATCCATTTACTAGGCAAATCAAGCAAAAATGAAAACAAACATATTTTTGTCTGTGGAAAAATTGAAACTAATTAGTGTTTTTACGATTTGAGCGATTTGTTTTGATGAAGAAAGGGAGATATATATCCCATGATACATTGCAAACCGGTTCAAAATGGCGGGCTTGTGACTCTGGGAGTCATCCACATGGACATCCATATATGGAAGTCGTACGACAAACTCCACTCGGCTGTTTTATTGTGTTGTGGTTTTTTTTGAAAGCAAAAACATATTGAATAAAAATGACTTGTCATTTCTCGACTAAAACACACCTKATATATTAGACCTTTTTAAACGAATGGGAAGTCAAATAGCTGATTGGAAGATCGGAAATGCCTCATTAGGCTGATAAGGTGGACATCCTTTTCAAGATCCTTTTCAAGGCTGTATATTCTAATGGCATTCCGATGTATATTTCTCCATAGTTTACCATTMTTGTGAGCAGTATCCAAGAGATCAAGCCATTAGAGGGAATAATACACCACATTTACCAAGTACCTTTTGATTCCGATGAGTATGAAAAGTTCACTTCCAAAGAAACTAAGGATGGACCTTTTAAGACATATATTTCTTCAAATGTGACTATCTCTGTTCTCACTGGAATATTTTGCGATCATCTGATTGCCAACAAAGAACTTCTTGAACCACTGAAAGAGTTCGATCTTTTAATCACAGAAACTTCTATGCCTTGTGGTCACGTGCTTTCGGACTATTTAGATATTAAAAAGGTGGAGTATTGTCCATTTTCACCCAGAACTATGTCTTTACTGTTAGGTCGACATGAAACCCTATTTGAARCATCTTCCGTTCCTATGGCGATGAGTTTTATTCCAGGAAAGATGAACTTCTTACATCGAGTTAAAAATGCAATGTTCCTTTTAGCCACKAGAGCGATTGTTCCCCTAWTTATWCTGAAACCGATGCAAGATGTCAAAGAAAAGTATAAGRTCAAATCTGAGARGACGTTGTCTGAATCGATGAGGGAAGATCATCTGGTTCTGTTCTTGTCTGACTTTGCATTGGAATATCCTTATTCAGTTCCTCCATGTAAGTCACATCCGTTGATTTGCTTGTCTCTCGCAGTTTCGGTCACGCGTAACGCAATCTCTTGACGTTACGTTGCGCTACGCGTGACCGAAACTAAACACGGCTGCTAGGAGACTGTTGATTTGMTCGTATATACTTGTAACATTTCTCTAACAATTTAGAATCTACAACTGCAGCTCGCTTTTTGAATGAGGTAGGAAAACCAACCTCTGATCTGTGACCAGGAAGATCAGGCCCAGGTGACATCTCATCAGTGGTCCAGTGAACTGTGAATCCAAGCGTTCGTTCGTTTTTTTTTATCCTTTTAGTTATTCAGTTCGCCAAGAAGTCAAAATTCACTCATTTAATACGCCCAGTTCAATGTTTTTTTTTGTTTAGATTATAAAATGATTGGACCACTTAAYATCCAACCTGTCCAACCCCTCCCCACTGATCTACAGCGGTTTATTGACAGTTCTGGTGACGATGGGGCCATTATCGTGTCTTTTGGAACCAGCGTTGCCTCGATGTCAAAAGACAAAGTTGACATCATGGCAGAGGCTTTTGGTAGATTAAAACAGAAGGTGATTTGGAGGATCAAAGGTGAGATGGATTGGATAATCGCAAAAAGTTACACTATGTTAGCCTCAGTTGTGTGTGAAATATGGAGAAATTTAGATAAAACTCGCCAGATTACTAACTATTTTCATCAGATCTCTTGAATTTGCACGTCCTGTTAGTAAATAAAAGGCTAACACAGCGTAAAAGAGATCGCTAAAAGGGTTTAGTTCAACTTCATCCTTGAGTCAAAAGGTTACTTGCACTGAATGAAATGACCTTCTGTACGAGTAATAATGCATATAAGCTATAAATATAACATGTTTAGGAACTTCTGTGCACTAAAAACCCTTCGGTGTTACCTTTGATAATATCCCCTATTCTTTGTGACGTTCCAAATGCTATTCCCTGTTGTTTAAACACTGGAGAATTCTCGCAGTTGTTTTGAGTCGAAAATATCAATGGTGATATCTTATAACTTTGTTAGGATACATCCCATCGTCTCTGAGTCCCAACATCAAAGCTGTTTCYTGGTTACCGCAAAATGACCTGCTGTCCCATAAAAACCTACGTTTGTTCGTGAGCCACGTAGGACAAAATAGTCTCTACGAGGCTGCCTATTACGGAGTTCCTGTGGTGGGCATTCCTTTGTTTTCAGATCAGTTCGACAACGCTTTGCTTGTGGAATTCAGAGGATTTGGTCTGTCTCTTGACTTTCACGAGTTAACCGCAGAACAACTGCACAGTACTATCAAACGTGTATTAAAAGAACCAAGGTATGATACCTAGGGGGAATGGTCTCCCCCTTTTGGCGAAGTCCTGCTCAAACACGTATAGAAATGTATATTTATATGACCTTCCCTGCCCATCCCCCACAAAATTTCTGGATCCCCCTACCCATCCTCTCTTTCACTTTTCACTGTTTTTCAATACTGCAGTTTCCGAGAAAACGCCCAGCGCATTTCTCGTCTGCTGAGAGACCGCCCACGTAGCCCGGTCCAGGAGGCTGGTGACTGGATAGAGTACGCCCTTAGACACAAGAGTCTTGCACATCTTCGTCCGTACTCCAGTAGACTTCCATGGTACCAGTATTTCCTGGTAGATGTAGCAGTGTTCCTGGTCTTGGTAGTTTTGGTGGTGATTATGTTGATAAAGTACACAGTTCGATTAATATGCTGGATGTGCTGTCGACGAGACAAGAAACAGAAAACTCAATAAGCAAATATCGTGACATTTAGGACTAGAATATCTTGTAACTCTTTTGTATGCAAAATGAACTTTCTTGGAGTGCAAATATTACTTTAAGTTTACTGAAATATTACTTAAGTGTGCTGTCGACGAGACAGGAAACAGAAAATTCATTGATCAGTTTCATTTATTACAACTGGTCGTTTGATTTCTGATCACAAACCACAGGTAACCCAGGCTCAATAACTAAGTATCAAATATGTCGTTCTTCGCACGATATTTTTTTTTTCCTTAAATAATATTATCTAACATAATATTATCTAACATAATCTCTTAACTTCCTGTTTGAAAATATTTCGACTTTTAGAAATATTTTCAACCAGAAAGGTAAGAGACGTTTTATCTATTTAGAATAATATTATTTAAGGAAAAAAATATTGTGCGAACGACATATTTTATACTTAGTTATTGAGCCTKGGTTACCTGTTAACAAATTAACCTTGTCGGTCTTAAAGTAAAGACGTTAGTATACACACCTGGGGGGTACTGCCACCCCAACCTGCTGGGTAGGGGTCAAAACCGACCTCTATTCAGACTAAAACGACTAAATTGYAACCCGGGTATACGCAACTGAACTCAGTGCTGCTTTATTATAAATGACATCAAACTTTATTGCTAATAAACAATGTCAAAGAAACATAATGTCAAATTGTATACTATTTTGGGCTTCCTGTGTAGTCAGTCATAAAGTCTCGTCGAGAGCATTGCGTGACAAGCAAGCATGGCGTCGGTGATCTTTCTCTTGATTACTTTGTTGTCCGTCGCTAGTTCCAGCTATGCGGCAAAGATTGTAGGTTTYCCAATGATGGGCGGCAGTCAGTATATTGGGATGAAGAATATTGGTCTAGAGMTTGCTAGACGTGGACATAAGGTGAGATTTTATCCAAGTTCAAAAGTTTGCATGGAGAACGGTCGAGTAATGACCAGTAATAATCGATCCAAAATTGCATTGTCCTTGACGTTATTTTGAAAATCTAGTCCATATCCTTAATCGCATTGAACTAAGGGTAATTTTGTGCTTGTTTTGTTTTGTTTTTTTCCTTCTCTATATAGAGAGCATATGTTTTAGGCCTTTTAGCGCCGTTTAATAATAATTTGTAATCCATTTTTAATACTGGCCAAAATTCGCCAAAATATAAGTGGTTCATTTCGTCCTATAAGYTTTCATTCCATATTTCAACACAGCTATATAGGTTACGCATTACATGTAATGGTTAGAAGCTTGATTGGTTGCAATTTATATATTTTCATGTGTGATTGGACCTTGAGCAAATAACCGTAAAACTAAATAATAAAACTTTTACATGTGAAAACATTTTAAAAATGTGTAGCCTTAGTTCAAAGGATTTATATTACAATTCAACCATTCAGCCGTGAAAATACACCATAAATGTTTGAATACGTTTGCTCAAGGGAAATTTCGTAACTTATAATTGATGGTTTTCAACCATTCCCATGAGAGTGAGCAAAACAAAAAGGTCCACCAGTCACGGTGGTGGTTTTCTTTTGTCAGGTCCACCAGCAATGGCGGACATCTTTTGTTTGACTTTCTCTCCTGGGAATGGTTGAAAACCATCAATAAGCTTTCCGTACAAACGCAGACCTGTGAATCAAGGCAATACACCTTTTGCTGTTCATAAGCGCAAAATGTACACTCATTTGTGCTATTGTATTTTGAATCGCTCAAATGATTGTCAAAACGCACTAAAGAATGTATTCTCGAATGGCTATGATTGTCCAAACGCGCTATAGATTGCCTATGTTTATGCTAATAACACTAATGAAGTTTCATTTTTGGTTGAATGATTGTCAATAAATGCAACCGTTTGTCAATAGTCCATTTGCATGATGGCGTAACTTTACTACAACTACCAGAAAGCCTTGCGCATTTTCTTTGTTATTCAGATTTTTAATCCCCTTAGCGATTAGTAAAACAATTGGCACTAATTGCATTACAAAAGAAAGTGGACAAAGCATTCTGGTAGTTGTAGTAAATGACGCCATAATGCAAATTTTCATTGCGCGCACATGAAACAACGTCCCACCCAAATGATTGTCCAGTCGTTCAGTTGATTGTCTATTGATACTGTTGAATGTTCGTGCGAATATCACTATTGAAAGTCGTTTCGCGCCAATGATGTTGCTTACGGTGTTCAAGAAAGTACAATACAAGTTATTGATACATCGCTTGGCACAAATGGGTGTACGTTTTACGCTAATGAACAGCAGAAGGTGTAAAGTATCTATATTATATAAGCAGCAGTGCGGATAAAATTGAAAATCGTATAAAAAGTATTTTTTTTACGAAAACTATAACTTTCCGGATATAACTTTCCGTAACTTTTTAAGGTTTTTTTTTATTTGATATTGAATTTTATTGGGATTTAACTGTTTTTTTAGAATTGAGAAAGAAAAAGAATTGTCCAACAAATTATTTTTGCGGAAGAGATGTTTTTGTTGAAATCCAGCGAAACCGGATGTACGGAGGCTAGCGTCCAGTCTCAAATTTCGATTTTGGAGGAACGCCTGACAGATTAGATTCACGCAAAACAGCAATAAGGTCAATTGAACTTAAACGATATCAAATTTGCTTCAAAACATCCAACTCGATCAAAATGTTTGCAATCCTTTGTGTTTAGAAGAAATTCGATGAATTTCGTTATCTTTATTTGTGTCTTTTATAGTAATCTATGAAAAAAGAGGCATACAAAGTTGGGTAACTATATTAGGAAAATAGTACGAAACATTCTATATTCATCAGTTGAAGGAACTTATTGCAGCCAGGGACATATCCAGGAATTGTCAATTGGGTGATTTTTACATACTCAAATTTTAATATGACGTCACGTGACGTCAACATGACGTCATGGGTACACTGATCTAGTAGATACACACCTGCCACAGTCTTTTTATAGTGTTGATAATGTAAATACTTTTCTCTTATAGTTCACCATATTGGTAAGCAGTGCGCAAAAGATCAAACCCACARAAGAAATACAACATGGTGTTTACAAAGTTCCYTATGATTCTGATTTCATGGAGAAATTTGCGGCTAAAGTGATCAATGATGGAATGTTCAAGGGCTTGATTTCTGGCAATGTAACAATGCCAGGAATTCAAAAAGAATTTTGTGAAACRTTAATTACTAGCAAAGAWCTTCTTGAGCCACTCAAAAGCTTTGATCTCTTGATCATAGACTGTTCCATGCCCTGTGGTCACGTGCTGTCAGATTATTTAGATATTAAGAAAGTCGAGTACTGTCCAGGCACAGCAAGAATGATATTGCCTTTATTTGCACCCTATGAAAGTTTGTCCATTGGATCTTACGTACCAATGATAATGACATCCAACCCAGGAAAGATGAATTTCTTCCAGCGAGTGAAGAATACAATGAGTAMTTTGGCAATAATGGTGATGGCACCAATTKTTATGMGTAGACCAATGCAGAATCTAAAAGTTAAGCACAACATCAAACCAGAGAAGAGTTTCTATGAGTCAAGCAGGGAATCTCAACTGATTTTGTTTYTGTCTGACTTTGCATTGGAATATGTATATCCAGTTCCYCCATGTAAGTCCTTTCTTAAGATAAGTTCTTTTAGATGGAAGAAAAAACGATTTCCATTCATTCAACCTTCATTCCCATCCATTCYCAATTATCTCAAGCATAACAGACATGAATACCGGTTTTCACATACAACCTATTGATCGAGAAGATTGATTCCAATGTTTCGATTGTCATGTGATTTACGCAAATATTAACTTTACGCTCATGTAAAGCGGTCGCGAATATCAGGTGTGTTATAATGGGCTAATGGGAAAGCTATTATAAAATTCTATATGGACGTTTCAGAATGTTCCACGTGCAGGAACTGCTGAATTTAGCAAGACGTGACAAACCGTTTTCAAGATCGACTATACTATCAATTTATTGTGGTCGAAACACTTTAAAACACTTTGTTCATCCTTTCATTCATGTTTTTATAAAAAAAACTTATTTGCTCTCGTATTTTGTTCAGATTATAAAATGATTGGACCAGTGAACATCCAGCCAGTCAAGCCACTCCCCCCTGATCTACAGCAGTTGATGGACAGTTCTGGTGATGACGGGGCCATCATCGTGTCTTTTGGATCCAATGTTGCGTCGATGTCCAAAGAAAAAGTCGATATCATGGCTGAAGCGTTTGGTAGATTAAAACAAAAAGTGATTTGGAGGCTTAAAGGTGAGATGGAATGTATCATTAACACCTTATCCACGCTATGTCGTAAATGATAAATCATATTTCCTTTACAGGATACATCCCACCGTCTCTCAGCTCCAACATCAAACCTGTGTCCTGGTTACCACAGAGTGACTTGTTGTCCCACAAAAAACTTCGCTTGTTTGTGTCTCACGTTGGCCAAAACAGTCTCTACGAGGCAGCGTATCGCGGAGTTCCATTGGTTGCGATTCCATTGTTTGGGGATCAGCCTGATAACGCTAAATTGTTGGAGTTTAGAGGATTTGGCCTCTCTCTTGATTACCAAAAGCTAACCGCTGATGACATGCAGAGTACTATAGAACGTGTTCTTAAGGACGCAAGGTATGTTGTTTTTCCTTGACTTCCTCATCTCAACCTTCCAATTTCTGTTTCGAAACTCGAAAAAAAACTGACAAAACAATTTACCTTTTTATTATCTTCAGTTTCCGTGAAAACGCTCAGCGCATTTCACGCCTGATGCAAGACCGTCCACGTAGCCCGGTCCAGGAGGCTGGTGACTGGATAGAGTACGCCCTTAGACACGAGAGTCTTGCACATCTTCGTCCGTACTCTGGTCAACTTGCGTGGTACCAGTATTTCCTGGTAGATGTAGCAGTGTTCCTGGTCTTGGTAGTTTTGGTGGTGATTATGGTGATAAAGTACGCAATTCGATTGATGTGCTGGGTTTGCTGTCGACGTGACAAGAAACAGAAAACTCAATAATCATTTCATTAATAACAACTGGTCTTAAACAGTTGAATTGTGAGTAAAGTAAAGATCTGAAGTAAAGATATTAGTATACGCATTGAGGAGGAAGGAGGTCGGKCGCACTATCAGACCAACTTGAGTAGGGGTGTGACGCAAGCACCTCACAACATCAATCACATGATCGCATCCTTGAACTAAAATTTCGATTTTTCATCCAGATTAAACCAACATGAAACCTAGGAATAGATCTAATCGGCTAACGCGTTTTTATAAACGTTTTCACCCGATTCAAACAACTCGGAAGTAAGTTACATTGTTTGTTGTGTTTTCATTTTACAGTTGAATTCTTAGATCCAAAGTTATTTTTCCGACAGGATTTGAATTGCCCTATTTCATTATGACGTCACAGTATGTTTACATCGGAAAACGATGGTCAAAAACAGCGGAAATTTGGACCCATTTGTCGACTAAAGTAGAACTTCAGTGAATCGTGTTTTGATATATATCATGTATAAATGATTGYTCRTGTACATTTTATTTGAAATGCAGTCACTCTGATCCCTTCTGGCGACCATAATCCTTAGCGTTAAAACAATAGAATGTTTTGATGTGACGTCATTATGAACTAGGGCAATTGGGTGGTAACGTATATACTTGGCAAAGCGTTAGGCGATTAGGTCTATTGTTTACTCTATTTTGCTAATTTTTAAACGGTATTTACATAATAATTGCTTCTGTGTTGACCGACTAATATCCCAGACTAAACCCGACAAAAACCGATCCTTTATTCAGATTAAAACGAACAAATTGTAATCCGTATAGCGAATATATCGTGTGAAATTGTATACTATTTTGGGCTTCCTGCGTAGTCGTTAGTGGTAAAGTATCGTCAAGGAGCTAATTGCGTGACAAGCAAGAATGGCGTCGGTGATCTTTCTCTTGATTACTTTGATGTCCGTTGCWWYTTCYRGCTATGCGGCAAAGATYRTAGGTTWCCCAATGATGGGYGGCAGTCAGTATATTGGGATGAAGAATATTGGTCTAGAGCTTGCTAGACGTGGGCATCAGGTGAGATTTTATCCAAGTTCAAATGTTCAAATGTTTGCATAAAGACTGGTCGATTAAGGGTCAGTCGAAATTGCAGTGTCATTGTTTTGACATTATATTGTAAATCTAGTCCATATCCTTATTATCGTATTCAACTGAAGGTAATTTTTTGATTGTTTTGTTTTCTGCACTATATAGTGGGAATGGTTTTAGCGGTTTGATAAGAATTTGTCATCCATTTTACTGACTGGCCAACCCTCGCCAAACTAATTATTTATGGTTCATTTGTCTTTACATATTTTACCAGATAATATTTCAAGAGGTTATGCATCAATGACAAGAAGCTTTTTAATGGTTACAATTTTAATGTATAATATATTCGATTGAAAGGGGACATTTTTTCGTTACTTTGCTTTCCAAACAAACGCTGTCCTGTCAATCAAGGTTGGGTGTCTTGGCAGGAGTGCGGGAAAAATTGAAAAAGGCCGAAAAAGTATTATTTTTTATGAAAACTTTCTGAGGGATAMATTTCCATAAATTGAAAGATACCATAACTTTTTTTTACTTGATATTGATTTTAGTGAGCAGGACCACGTGCTTTTGATCTAACTATTTTTCCGAAAGAAGAAGAAGAATTATCCAAACGATTTTGGAGGAACGCCTGACAGATTTATAGTGATGATAATGTCAATACTTTTCTCGTATAGTTCACCATATTGGTAAGCAGTGCGCGGAAGTTCAAACCCATAGAAGAAATACAACACATTGTTTACAAAGTTCCTTATGGCTCTGATGTGATTGAAAACCTTGCAGCTAARGTGATCACCRAAGGCATGCTTGGCASTATCATGTATGGCAATGTAACCATGACTAGACTTATGGCAGAATTTTGTGAAAAGTTAATTACTAGCAAAGATCTTCTTGAGCCACTCAAAAGCTTTGATCTCTTGATCACAGACACTTCTATGCCTTGTGGYCACGTGCTGTCAGATTATTTAGACATCAAAAAGGTGGAGTAYTGTCCAGTCTCGCCCAGAYCGGTTTTGCCTCTGATCGACCCTTATGCGAGTTTTTCYATTGGATCKTATGTACCTTTGATGTTGACATCCAACCCTGGAAAGATGAACTTCTTCCAGCGAGTGAARAATACGATGAGTRTTTTTGGAATGATGGTGATGGCCCCAATTTTTATGCGTAGACCAATGCAGAATCTAAAGGTGAAGCACAACATCAAACCAGAGAAGAGGCTTCATGAGTCAAGAAAGGAAACTCAACTGGTTTTGTTCTTGTCTGACTTTGCATTGGAATATGCATATCCAGTTCCTCCATGTAAGTCCTTCATTAAAATAAGTTCTTAAAAATACAAGGAAAAACATGCTTCCTTTCATTCAAATTTTATTCTCATCCATTACCAATTATCTCATGCATAACAGGCGTGAATACTGTTTCTCAAATACAGCTGATCTCGAAAAGATTGTCTAACTTATATAAAGATATTTACAGTGTTTCAACTGTCATTGTGACTTACGAAAATATTAACTTTCCGCTCGTGTWAAATGGTCTAGAATCAAACCTGATATTCAGGGGAAATGACAAGCMTTTATTAAGATTCTATTGGGCATTTGAGAATGTTTGACGTGTATAAACTGAACATATATCAAAATACGTGGCAACCTCATCAAGATCAGCCATATTTCATGCCGTTAAACTCAATTCCATATCTTTGCGGATAAAACACTTCAATTATTTATACTTCTTTTTGTTCATCCTTTCATTCATGTCGATATAATATTTTCAGCTTTCAGCAATTTTCAGTGCCAAACAACATCACTATATTTGCTCACTTTTTTTTCAGACTAYAAAATGATTGGCCCAGTGAACATCCAACCAGTCAAACCCCTYCCCCCTGATCTACAGCAGTTGATTGACAGTTCTGGTGATGACGGAGCCATTATCGTGTCTTTTGGATCCAAYGTTGCGTCAATGTCAAAAGACAAAGTTGACATCATGGCTGAGGCGTTTGGCAGATTGAAACAAAAGGTGATTTGGAGGCTTAAAGGTGAGATGGAATGTGACATTAACACCMATACTATGTCGGTAAATAAAATGACACTATCATATTTCCTTCAAAGGGTACATACCACCGTCTCTCAGCCCCAACATCAAACCTGTTTCTTGGCTACCACAGAGTGACTTGTTGTCCCACAAAAAAACTGCGCTTGTTTGTGTCTCATGTTGGACAAAACAGTCTCTACGAGGCAGCGTATCGCGGAGTTCCATTGGTTGCGATTCCGTTATTTGGGGATCAGCCTGATAATGCTAAGTTGGTGGAGTTTAGAGGATTTGGCCTCTCTCTTGATTACCACAAGCTAACCGCTGATCACATGCAAAGTACTATAGAACGTGTTCTTAAGGAACCAAGGTATTTTGTGTTTGCCCTGACTTCCTCATCTTACCCATTCAGTCAACATTTCAATTTCTATTTCGAATTTCGAAACTCGTATATACTGACAAACCAATTTAACCTCTCATTATATTCAGTTTCCGTGAAAACGCYCAGCGCATTTCACGCTTGATGCAAGACCGTCCACGTAGCCCGGTCCAGGAGGCTGGTGACTGGATAGAGTACGCCCTTAGACACGAGAGTCTTACACATCTTCGTCCGTATTCCAGTCAACTTGCCTGGTACCAGTATTTCCTGGTAGATGTAGCAGTGTTCCTGGTCTTGGTAGTTTTGGTGGTGATTATGGTGATAAAGTACACAGTTCGATTAATGTGCTGGATGTGCTGTCGACGAGACAGCAAGCACAAAACTGAATGAAATGTAAAATAGAAATACTGAAAATTCTCTGGTATTGAATACGGCATTTTTGTGAATTCATAAATACTCTTGCGTCCAAGACAGTTTAGAGCAATCACTTTTTAAATATTGACAAAAAATCGGATTTCCTAACTTTTATGTTTAATAAAGTATATTTTAGTGATACAGAGGTGAATGAAAGAGTACAGTCAAGCACTTCAAAGAAAAGACAGCAGGGAGGAAGGTTGCTGCTAGTCAACGTTATCCACAGTAGCGACATCTAGTAGTGCTGCATTGTTTTTATTTTGTTACACCGACTTGTTTAATTTCCTTCAACTCGTTTTATTTGCTGCTTCTCGTGCTACAACTCATTTCATTTACTATAACTCTTTTTTTATTATTATGTACAAGGATGAAAATATATAGATAGTGTTATGAAATTAAAAACGTTTTCGACTATGAGTCATCTTCAGTTGTGTCTAAAAATTTACATGTTTGCATTTATAAGGGAGCTAAGATATCCCTGAGGGATAAAGATTTGCAATAAAGCATTTCACTTGTTTGTTAAGTGTCGGTTGTTCACGTGCGATAATGAGTCCTTCTATTATTTTAAGTTTGAATTCTGATTTCTCTTTGTGAATGATGTTCCAGGTGTAGGCTTAATTCGGATGACTTGAGATGTGGCGTGCTGGTTGGGAATTATGTGACGGGTCTTCATGTTCAGTCTTGCGAACTTCGAAATTCCTTATGGTTTCTCCGATGTATGTTTCACCGCACGAGCATTCCGCTTTATATACTACTGAGGACTGGTGATAGTGATAGTTTTCATCCTTGTACATAATAATAATATTTTAAGCGAAATATGACAACTCTTTTTTTTATTTACGACAACTCCTTTTACATTTGCTACGACTTYTTTTACTTTGCTACAACTCGTTTCATTTGCTATAGCTTGTTTTTATTTGCGATAAACTCCTTTGATTTGCTACGTCGACTTGTTTTGTTTGCTAAAACTCGTTTTATTTGCTGGATCCAATTGTTTTTTGTTTTTTTCATTTACAGCAGCTCAACTTGTATTCACTCAACTTGTCTTTTATTCGCTTTTACTCGTTAGCATTTGCAGCACCCATGGGCCACTGGGTTAAGAATATTAGCCACTAGAAGAAATGCTCTCAATTATAAATCTGAAGTCATGGCCAATGAAAAATTCGAAAACAAGATGCTATCGATATCTTAAATCCATACTGAACTCGATACCTTTTTCTTTTAATTTACTAGGGGAAAAAACAATTATTTTGGTTTCATATATGTTTTGTATTCAAGATTTTATACCGTTTGAGAATGGGTAAACTCTGCGAATTGACATATAGATATAGGAACTTATTGAGACGTGTTATTTWAAAATTTGGTGAAAATATTAAGTTAAATGGTGTTCGCATTCTCAAAATGAATTTTCCGAATTATTCTTTTCTCTCTTTCACAYACTTTTCTTCCTTCCTTTCTTTCTAATTTTAATGCCTTCCATTCACTCTTTGGGYTTCCTGTGCAGATGGATGAGKATCACAGTTGGCGTGACAAGCAATGATGGCGTCGGTCTGTGCAAACTTTCTTGTCGTGATCTCTTTGATGTCCTTCGCTGCATCCATCCGATCGGCAAAGATCGTAGGTTTGCCGATGATGGGTGGCAGTCAGTACATGGGGATGAAGAACATTGGTCTAGAGCTTGCCAAACGTGGSCATCAGGTACGTTTTACTGCAGTTTAGAAAGTTTTCATTCGATAGAGTCATGGGAGTCATGCAAAACAGGTATTTGCTGCTGTGTCATTGTTGATTTTTCGCTTAAGCTCTAAGTTCAGTCCAAGCACAAGATACCTATCATCGTGTTTATTAACTTTTCTTTGAAGTCTGAACAGTTTTGTCTGTATGTCTTGTGCGTGTGAYATTTGGGTTTTGGTGTGTATTTTAATTRARGWTWGGTCACCATTTATAATTGAATTTTTCTGTTTGGTTAAGAATTTCTTCCAAAGCTTTGAATTAATTTGCCATGGAATATGGATATCTTTTATTTTAGAGTATCTCCACGCTCTTAACACCTCAAATCGTTACATACACAGCAATAAACATAGAAGTCGAAAGRAATTTTAATTTTGTACGATTTTAAAAGTGTTCTGCAAGCGTGACAGCGTTCGACCCCCTGCAGTGGCACCTGTTTTCTATGCTAATTCTATTCTGCATTTAATGTGAATACGGACTTGAGTCACGGGCGGCGCAGCATTAATTTTGCGTTGGTATCCAGTGCTTTTTGCGTTTCACRCATGACACGGCCCAATGACCACTAATAGTGCCAAGAGCAGCTAAGACGGAAAATACGATGATTATGAATAGGGGGTTTAGGCAGTATTAATGTGGTTAAATATTAGCCAAGAAAAAGTAGAATTTTATTACCTGTTAGAGCTACGCTTTCTCAAAAGGAATTCAACCTTGCCATCTGAATTGTTATAATTACATATTTGATAATTAATAATGAGTAGATATAAATTATAGACGTGCACAAGAGAGCTTTCAAAGAGACAAAGTAAAACTGCTGTCAAGATTAACTAATGCACACATTTCCCCCCTTATAGTTCACCATATTGGTAAGCAGTGCCCAAAAGATCAAACCCGCAAAGGAAATACACCACAGTGTTTACAAAGTTCCTTATGGCTCAGATGTAATTGAAAACCTTGCAGCTAAATCAATCAATGAAGGCATGATTGGCACTTTGATGTCTAGCAATGTTACCATGCCTGGACTTCAAGAAGATTTTTGTGAAAAGTTAATTACTAGCAAAGAACTTCTTGAACCACTCAAAAGCTTTGATCTCTTGATCACAGACACTTCKATGCCTTGTGGCCACGTGCTGTCAGATTATCTAGACATCAAAAAGGTGGAGTACTGCCCAGTATCACCAAGATCCATGTTACCTCTATTAGACCCTTATGACAGCTTGTCCATTGGATCGTATGTGCCTATGTTGATGACATGGAACCCAGGAAGAATGAATTTCCTTCAGCGAGTAAAGAATATAATTAGTGCGCTGGTGATGATTGCGATGGACCCATTTCTTTTTCACAGACCACTGGAGAAACTTAAAGTGAAGCACAACATTAAACCAGACAAGAGTTTCTCAGAATCAATGAATGAGAATCAGCTTATTTTGTTTTTGTCTGACTTTGCATTGGAATATGTATATCCAGTCCCACCACGTAAGTAGAGTGCACGTCACATAAGCATGAAACAATTCTTAACTAATTASCGCCTAATAAGATTTAGTTATCAACTAACTAAGAGTTTAGTGAGGCATAAACAAAGACAAGTTTCCTTTCTGGCATTGTGTTCATGCYCCAGTGARTTCTTAGTWAGTTGATAACTAAATCTTATTAGGCGCTAATTAGTTTCATGCTTATGTGACGTGCACTCTATATTAATCTTGTTTTGGATGGAAGAAGAGGAATTCTCATCCACTAAATTTTCAGTACGATCGTGTTAATAAAATGTCTAAAGTGTTCGCTTCTGTTATCTCGCTAATTCAACATTTTTGACTTGAGTTACTGAATCCATTCCAACATCTTTAGATAAAGTACTTGCTTCGCATATTATTCCATTTATTCACCCATCCATCCTTTCCTTAAGGCAATTCATTTTCCTTTTCACCCATCCCTTTGTTTAGTTATCTACTCCCAATCCATTCACTCATTCATCCATTGCAGACTTTAAACTGATCGGTGCAGTGAACATCCAGCCAGTCAAACCCYTCCCCCCTGATCTACAGCAATTGATTGACAGTTCAGGTGATGACGGAGCCATTATCGTGTCTTTTGGATCCAACATTGCTGCGATGTCAAAAGAAAAAGTCGACATCATGGCTGAAGCGTTTGGTAGATTGAAACAGAAAGTGATTTGGAGGCTTACAGGTGAGACTGGACATAATCAGATATTGCTTTCTAAAAAAAATGATGGAAACTAGTCGGTATTACTAAAGAAACAGTTGTGAAAATCTGTGAAAGATTTTTTGTATTTTTACACTGTAAAAACTGGTATGAGAAATAATCTACTGACGTTTCGGACGTTATTCCTTTATAAAATAAATTGGTGATAGCTAATAGCCCTTCCTTGCAGCCCGAATGCTGAATTACGAAGGACRCAGCTCACGTGATCGAGTCGGTTATGCGGTATACAAGGGCGCTATCATTATGAGGACGATCACATAGTTACAACATACACACAAAGCAGCCAACCAACCGACCCATATCTGATCACGGAGCACAGCTAGGATCGAAATGTTCCGTTTTTGCTGAGGGAGGAAAAACCGGAGAACTCGGAGAAAAAACCCTCGAAGCAAGGGAAAGAACGGAAACAAACTCAAGCCACATATGATCCCAAGTCAGAATCGAACCCGGGACCACAGCGGTGACAGGCCGGCGCTCTTTGTCAGGATTAACGTGCGAGATATCAGAAAGTTATTTTTTCCATATTTTACACTGTAAAATCTATGTTATTTCGCACCTATTGCTTTTTTAATGGATAAATAACAAGCTTTGTGAATACTAATATTTAAAGTTTAAAGATTTAAAATGAATGATGGCATCTCATGGTATTTACAGGATACATCCCATCGTCTCTCAGCTCCAATATCAAGCCTGTTTCCTGGTTACCGCAAAATGACTTGCTTTCCAACGAAAAACTACGTTTGTTTGTAACTCACGTTGGACAAAACAGTCTCTACGAGGCTGCGTACCACGGGGTTCCTGTGGTTTCTATTCCATTGTTTGGGGACCAGCATGACAACTCTAAATTGGTAGAGTTTAGAGGATTTGGACTTTCTGTTGATTTCTTCAAGTTAACCGCTGATGAACTACACAGTACTATAGAACGTGTTATAAAGAATCCAAGGTATGTTGTTTTGTTGTTTCCTTTTTGTCCATATACCAACAATACAGTTTATCCAATTTTCATAATCTTCAGTTTCCGCGAAAACGCCCAGCGCATTTCACGCYTGATGCAAGACCGTCCACGTAGCCCGGTCCAGGARGCTGGTGACTGGATAGAGTACGCCCTTAGACACGAGAGTCTYGCACATCTWCGTCCGTACTCYRSYCAACTTCCCTGGTACCAGTATTTCCTGGTAGATGTAGCAGTGTTCCTGGTCTTGGTAGTTTTGGTGGTGATTATGGTGATAAAGTACACAGTTCGATTGATGTGCTGGGTTTGCTGTCGACGAGACAAGAAAGAAAAAACTCAATAAACACGAAAGTTAAAGATTTAGAAAATACAACCCCAAATTTGACACAAAATACTAATACATACGYTAACCGAAGAACTAGCTCTGTTTTTGTGGCTAATGGTTCATAAAAGGCTTAGTACACTATGCTATCACCTTGAAAGTACATGGGACTATTTGTATAGCACGGGTTGTCTTCTTTCGGTCATCTTGATAGCTTCTCTTCGGATACATTCGTCAATTATGCTACAGTTGTTGTGTTAACGCTAGAAGAACGCGCATGTCTCGGAAGCATTGCAGGTGACCAAGTCGAAGCTTTGGACATGAGCTCGCGCTCGCAACTGACGTTGCTGCTGGTAGCTAACCATCGAGGTGACGATTCTTCTATCGGCATTCTATGGGAAGAAGACGTTCTTAAAAACGCCTGCATAATTCTAGGTGTACAATGATTTGAAAATGTTTAGAAAACTGTTATTTACTCAAGCTTTCGTCGGTCGTCSACATCGTCAGGAGAATGAAGGAATTTACATTAGCGTAGTGTATGGCCTAAAACTTCACTTATTATTCTGCACAACACGATGCTACTGAAAGATAATTTCAGTACGATAATAATCATATCAATTTTTTGAAAACTTTTGTAGATGCACACATAATTATATCAAAATAGACAACTCCAAATTTCACTTAAATACGTTGAATATGCATCATTTCGATCAGTAGGAAGCTCAACTGACCCACTTGCTAATGTTCCTTGGAAGWRGGTTCGTGCAGGAGTAATTACGCGCGGGAGTAAACAGTTGGGAAGGTCTTGACCCGTTTGCCCTCCAATGCCTTTATCATTATTCTTCGAGTACATTTAGTAAATTTAGGTAATAGTTAGGTGTCTCGTGTTATTTTCTCATTATCTTCATTCTCTACGCTTTCAAGTTTAGTTGTCCAGTGCCCAATATATCGCAATTTTAATGCAGTTGAAATCCCACTCACAACTTCCCCCTATCCCACTCCCCATTTTGCTTTCAAGGAATCGGCTGAGGAGTAATTGAGTAAAGCGGCAGCCTTCTTACTCCGTCAACTCCATGCTGTACCTAATTTGCTATAATTGCATTTCATTTAAATTGGTCGTTGTATTCGAGCATCGTTGCGTGACAAACGAAAATGGCGTCGGTCAGTGCATACTACAATATTGGAGATATGAATTTAATCTTCTCCTACACTCGTTAGAGATCTTTTTGATAAAATCCGTATCTCCGCGCGTCCATGTAATATCCTCTATTTATTACATG